CGGCGCCCGCTCACGGCGCCGTCCCGCAGGCGCTACGCGGCGCTGCGGCTGCCCTACTCCTTCGAGCGGGTGCCACGCGCCGAGGACCTGGCTGCGATGCTGCTGCGCTCGCCCATCGCCCAGGCGCACCGGGTACGGCGGCGGGGAGCGGGGAGCGGGTGCCGGGCGCCGGCGGGCACCCACCGCGGGCTCTGTGCTGCAGGTGCGGGCGCCGGTGCTGCTGTGTGTCGGCGCGAGGGACCGGCGCGTGTCCCCAACGCAGGCGCTGGAGTTTTACCGGGTGCTGCGCGCGCGGGGCGTCCCGGCGCGGTGAGTTGGGCACCACAGGGCGCCCCCAAAGCCCGGCGGGCACCGGGGCTGAGCCCGGGCCCTGCCGCCCGCAGCCTGCTCTGGTACCCGGAGGGAAACCACGCGCTGTCCGGCGTGGAGACGGAGGCCGACGTCTTCACCAACTGTGCCCTCTGGATCATCCGCCACCTGGGTCTGCCCTGCCGGGCCGCGCCGGGCCAGCACGGGCCATAGGGCCGCGGTGACAGGGCCGTGCCCGGGCTGGCGCGGGCCATAGGGCCGCGGTGACAGGGCCGTGCCCGGGCTGGCGCGGCCCGGGGATGGCACCGGGTGGAGCGGGGACAGGGTGGACTTCAATAAATGGACGAGACCCTCTGCAGTGGTGCCCCTCACAGGCGCTGGGGCACACGGTGAGAGGGGCATGCGGTGACAGTGGCCTCCCCGCTGGCACCAGGCCCCCATCTCCCGCGGGCATCCCGGGCATCCCAACCTCACTCCAAACGCAGCCACGGCCCGGGCGCCTCTCCCTTTATTCCGGCTGGGCACGGTGGGCAGCGAGGTGGCACCTCTGGGCCCCCGCGGGCAGGGCCAGGCCCCCCGGCGCGGGCCCGGCCGGCTCAGACCATCTTCATGACCTTGTGGATCCAGTCGACGTAGAGCGAGACGCGGATGAAGAGGGCAGGCTGGTTGGTGCGGGCGCACACGCGGGACGGCGTGATCACCCCCTCCAGCACCCAGCAGTCGTGGGTGAGGCAGGCCAGGGGCCCCCCGTAGTCCCCCTGCGGGAGCAAGGGGGCAGGGTGAGCGCGTGGTGGCACCCGCGGGCCCCGTGGGGCACCCCGGGCGGGCGCGCTCGCCTCGCAGGCGCCCACGCCGGCGCGCAGCGGCGCGGTGCACAGCTCGGTGTCCTTGAGGCGCCCGCGCAGCGCCGCCGCGCACTCCGCGCCCGACATCACCGGCAGCCGCGCCACGTTGAGCACCGAGGCGTCCGCGGTGCCTGCGGGGAGCGAGCGAGGCAGGGGGTGCCCTCCATGGGCGGAGGATTGGGGGCGCCCCACGGGCAGGGCATGGGTGCCATGGATAAGGGGACCCTGAGGAAGAGGGATACGGGGACGCCGTGCGCACGGGGATGCCGTGGGCATGGGGATGCCGTGGGCACGGGGATGCCATGGGCAGGGGGACTTGGACTTTGTGGGCAAGGGGATGCCGTGGGCAGGGGGATGTAGTGGGGAGGAGGACTCTCTGAGCAGGGGGATGCTATGGGCAGCGGGGCGCTATGGGCAGGGGGATGCCATGGGCAGGGGGATGCAGTGGGGAGGAGGACTTTGCGGGCAGGGAGATACCACGGTCAGGGGGATGCCATGGTCAGGGGGATGCCATAGGTGAGGGGATGCTGTGGGCAGGGGGATGCTCTAATCAGAGGGATGTCATGGGCAGGGGGATGCCATGGGCAGTGGTTTCTGTGGGCAGGGGGCTGCTCTATACAGGGGATGCCATGGACAGGGGGAAACCATAGGCAGGGGGATGCGGTGGGCAGTGGTTTCCATGGGCAGGGCATTCCGTGGGCAGGCGGATGCCATGGGCAGGGGGTGTCATGGCTGTGAGGATGCCGCAGGCGGGGGGATGCCCGGGCAGCGGGTGCCCAGCGGGGGTCCCGCCGCGGGTACCTCCGGTCTCCCCCCAGCCGGCGATCTCGCACACGGTCTGCGCGGGCACCACGTAGCGCTCGGGCGGCAAGCAGATCAGCGCCACCCGCTTGTTGAGCACGGCCGGCCTGCGGCAGTGGGGGACATGGGGCAGTGCCCAGGACTGCCCCCGGCCCGGCCCGCGGCACCGGCCTCCGCGGGCGCCCCGCTCACCTCGCCAGCTTCAGCAGCACCAGGTGCGAGTCGGAGGGGCCGCACACGATGCGCACGATGGGGATGGCCTGTTTGTCGGGGTCCTCGGGGCCCGGGTCCTTGAAGAGGGTCCCCAGCTGGACCTCGTAGCCCGTCAGGTCGGCGCCGCTGCGGGGCAGGGCGTCAGGGCGCCGCTGGGGACCCCCGCGTGCCCCGTGGCACCCGCGGGCGCCGCTCACCAGGAGGAGAAGCACTGCTGGCTGCTGATGACCCACTGCTCGTGCACCAGGGAGCCGCCGCAGAAGTGCACGCCGGCGCTGCGGGAGGGCGCGCGCTGAGAGCCGTGCCCGCCGGGCACGTCGCCGTCCCCGGCGCTGCCCGCTCACCGGTTGCGGACGCTGACGGTCCAGGGCGAGTTGCCCGGCTGGCCGCCCACGACGCGGCCCTTGCGCTGCAGCCGCTCGTCGCGCCGGCCGCAGCGCTCGAAGGCCGCGGCGTCTGCGGGCTCCAGCGC